CGGGGATGCGTGTGGGCACCGGCAGAGGCTAAAAACGCGGGTAAAGCTAAACCCGGGCAAATACATAAATGACATAAATATAGGCACGAAGATGGTTATAGGCACATATAGAAATAAAATTACGGGCGCATAAATACAGCACAGGGAAATACCGGCACCGGTGCCGCTGGGTGCGTCACAGTTATTTATGCTTTAAGCACACGGGGGAAATAAGTATGCAATAATAAGTATGTAGTTATATACATAGAAATACAAACATCGCATATAGATGGGACTTAATGCATATTCGACACGGGAACGTGTGTTTTGTATAAACATGTATATACCGCATAAATACAGCACAGGGAAATACCGGCACCGGTGCCGCTGGGTGCGTCACAGTTATTTATGCTTTAAGCACACGGGGGAAATAAGTATGCAATAATAAGTATGTAGTTATATACATAGAAATACAAACATCGCATATAGATGGGACTTAATGCATATTCGACACGGGAACGTGTGTTTTGTATAAACATGTATATACTCCCACACCTAAATATAGTGTAATTTATACCACGCTGTGTGCATGTGTGTATATATAAAAATACGCTCATGAACATGGGGCTATCGGCATGCAGAGAAAGAAGGGAAAATTAAATATACCGATGTCTTTTTATTTTTTTTTCTTCCCTTTCCCAAAGCAGCTGCATATCCAGATGTGCATCTCCTTCTCCACAAAAATCCCTGGCGATTTTCTCTGCCGAAGCAGCGCTTTGCTGAAGCTTCGTTGGATTCCTACTGAATATCAGCGCTTTCTTTAAAAAAAAAAAAAAAAAAAAAGCAAAGTAAAACAAAACAAACAAACCTAAAAAAAAAAAAAAACAAGGAAAAACCTAATTAAAACCGATTAAAACCACCCGAGTAGCTCTACCAGGAGCAGAGACGATTTCAAGGATATTCCTCGGCTTTGCCTTTTCCAGGAAAAAAGAAAAAAACCACACATTAAAAAAAAAAAAAATCCCGTGGTGGGTTTTGCGTGTACGTGGCGGGATGCAGCCTCTTTCAGCGGGGAAATATCGGTCCTTAGTGTGCCCATCGTCTCTTCGCCGGAGGGGCGGGGGGAAGGGATGCGCACCCCGAAAAATCAATGCCGTAAGCTGATCCCAACCCCAACCCGGTGCAAACTAACGGCCGGGAGGGAGAGGATGGTTTTCAGACACTTTTTATCCCGAAAAAAAAGCAGAGGATGGGACACAGCACAGTGCAGCGACAAGGAAAAAAAAAAAAAAAAATCCCTGCTCCGCACTCGGATCGATCTTCGTAAAACAAAGAGTTTAACGAAATTTGGCTGAAAATAACCCCGCGGAACAAATCTCGGCCTTTCCACTCTCCTTTCCAGCCCCTTCTTCTCCTCCAGAGAGGAAAGAAATCGCTACGATGCCGGGTTTTTTTTTTTTTTTTTTTTTTTTTTTTTTTTTTGGTGTTTTTGTTTTGGTTTTGCGTTGTTTTTTTTTCCCCGCATCGAAGTTAATTCCGCGGCGGTTTTAGAGTTAAAGCTCCGGGTGCCGGTATATCCACCCGCGACCAAACAAACAAACAAACAAAAAAACCCAACAAAATCCTCACATTAGGAATTAGGGATGAGGGGAGAGAGAAGGGGGATAAGTTGATTTAAAAATTTCTCCGCGGGGCTGTGCTGAAAATTGCGTTTTTTTTTTTTTTTTAAATCACTATAATAATAATAATAATTTTTTAAAAAAAAAAGGTTAAAAAATAGGGAAAAAAAAACC